GCACACCGAGACTGGATTTGGGGGGAAGAGATACTAAAAAGCAGCATTGAATCTTTTTAGCTGTAATTGACACTTGTGAGGGGATGCGGTGACTCTTTTTTGACCRTATATAAAACAATCCTTGCACCTGAAGTTCCCAATCAGTTATTGGGTGATATGAACTCAATGTTGATGAACGTCACTGCATACTGACATACTTAAACCAGTGCCTCATGAAGCTATTACATCTGCACACACTACTGTGRCTGAAGTCTTCATATTAACAAGAAGACTGTTAATAAGACGGTGAGATGGTGAGAAGACTCACCATCCGATGACTCATAAAAAGATAATATTTTAAAAAACAAAACTAATAAACTTAGATTTTGTCACAGCTGTTGTCCAAAGGTAGATGGCAAATTTATTACAATAAAGGGAATATATGGCTAAATATTTTGGAACAATCGAAATCACTACACAATATTATTACAAAAATGAGAACATCTTTCCAAAGAGCAGGCATAAAATTATCTACCCTTGAACCTAGTGTTTCGTTATTTAACAAATGCAGACTTTTCTGTATTTTAGAGATTGAAATCAATACTAATTTTCCCAAATCTGATAAAACAGTAAGAGACGAACAGATTTGGCAGCAGAATTTGAGTACAGGTACTTGTGATCACAACAGCCAGCAGAGGGAGTAAAAAACAAAACATAAAAACTCCAAACAGTTCTTTCTCTTTTTAAGCTTAAGTTTCCTTTAAAATTAAAATGGTGCAAAAAGTGCAAATTCCAAAACATGGAAAAAAAATCATTTAATTGTAAACCAGTAAGCATGAATAGCAATTACATTACTTTTAGTAGGCCTTACAAATTTACCTCACATACACATACATAAAAATCTCATAATTATTTTAAGAATATAAAATTAAATTTGTGTTTCAGGTGCAGTGCATCATTTATTTGTACAAGATACAGTATAAGATCTTGAAAATAAATAAAAGGTAGCACTAATCTGCATAATAAATGATGCAGAAGTGATTAAGCCAAATATTTACCCTAGGTCTTTGGTGCAGGTGAGGGTTCAGCCGAACATTTCAAGATCAAGTCATTCAGAAATAAACACCCATCTTCTCGTTCAAGTTTTCACCAGATCCAGCTGATGAAAGTGGCTTTAATGAAGGGGGGAAAATAAAAAACCCACACAGGAGGAAGGACAAAAGCAGTGCTGACCAGAGACTTTAGCCTTGTTTCAAAATTKTAAATGAACAACCATCCTACTCTAAAAGATTAACATCCAACTCAGTTGCATTATCCCACTGACCATTACTTAAAACGCAAAACCACTTCTTCCACAGCGCGCTTTAAATAAGCAACAAGCCTCGGGAGAGTTAACTCTGAAGGATTTACCTACTTTCTCAAGGCCTGCGAGCGCTATGCAGCCCCAAGGCAACAGGCAAGCACGGAAAAGGGAGCTGGGAAGCCAAAGAGACAGAAGATTCGTTATTTTAAGTGTAAACTGCATGCTTCACAAACTACACTTTGGAGAAAACAAACTAACAAAGTCTYACATAAAAGCATATTATTTCGATGTTAACTGCTCACGCCCACAGTTTCCATTCCCCTGGCTTTCAGTTCTCTTTTTTGTCCATTTTCTCCCACTTTCTTCCACACGAGACCAGCAGTGCTTCCACGTGGGACACACGCAGCTCCTGCACGTTCACAGACACAGACACATCACACGGTCCCAGTCCCGAGGGACCACTGAACGACATCAGGAGCCACCACAAACCCACGGTGCTGCTTTTAAAGGCAGTTCTGCTTCTCCAGTCACAGAGCCAGAATCCCGGGGGATAAAACCCAGGGACTATTCTGCTTTCCACAACAGTATCTAACTTTTAAGGCAGATTTATTTACAAAAAATGAACTTGTCTACCTTCACATGTGTGATTCAGCACTGAAAAATCAGCATTTGACTTACAAAACCCTGATTACAGGTAGTAAATATACAAACCAAGAATAGGAGAGTTAAGTCAATATTAACCTTTCAGTTAGCCCAGGTAACAGGAACACTTTTAGTTTTATTTGAGCTTAAAACTGCCATTCTTCCCTACAACTTCCCCTAAGAGTTTCACAGTTTTATACTGTCTTTAAATCTGTTTAAGTCTGTCACAGTTTGTCACATTTCAGCACAAGATAAACTTACTGCATCACAAAGAAAAGAAGGCAAAACACAATTTTATGCAAAGTTATCAATATATCAGTAATATTCATAGAAGTACAAGGCCCATCCTGTAAAATACTCCTACCCGAGAGCAGACTCAAGGGACGCAGACTAAATACCAGCATCTTTAATAATATCGCCACACCTGCAACTCGAGAGACCTTGCTTGAAGAACAAATGTGGGATGCTTTTGTGGAGACACAAAACCCTGGAATGCCTGACAACTCGCAGTACCCTAATTACGGCAGAAATCCACCGGAGAATAGATCCAGGACTGCAGACATGCTTCCTCCRCACATTGCTTCGCACTAAATTACACACTTAATAGATTAGGAGCAACCACACGCAAAAGGGCTACATAAAGTTCTGCATTCTCATCCAGTGCTTTATTTAAAATCATAAGAAAACTGAAAGCAGTCAGCTGTGGCATAAACTGAATACTCCTGAATCCAAAAATTTTAATAACAAGAATAATCTAAGAAAAATTGGAGCRCCTGACGATACTGCATGTAAGTGGAAAAAAGGGTGCAGAGTAAAAAAGAAAACACATCTCCAGCAATTTCATTGCTGTACAGTCTTAAAAACTCTGTTAGGTCACTTTTCAGTCCTCCCTGTAAGAATATTTAGTCTTCTCCTGTAAAAATATTTAGACTTTTTTGTCCCCAAAGTATAACAGCACATATGTATGGACGCACGTAYGATTTAGAATCATAAATACTATTTGAGAAGCACGGCGAGCTCCAAGGCACAGCCCATTATCTGCATTATTCTACATGATCTCACCCTCTTCAAAGCAATAACAGTCTTCCTGTTGTACTGTAACCAGCATTGTGTACAGTACTCCAAACACAGCCCAACAAGTGCTCTTTGCCATCGCCGCACTGTTGCTGAATAGTATCTTGTTTGACTTCCCTCCACTCCACCTCTTTTTTCAGCCCGGTTTCCTAAGGAAATCAGCCTTATGCAATCACTTGGAGGGTGTACGTGTATGTACGGATCCACGCTCTGATGTGAATCTCTGCCTGCCTGACCTTACTAAAACCTCCTGAACCGCCTGGCCAGCTTCAGTCACGCCCGGCCCTGGATTAGAGACCTCGGAGATTTAAGTTCCTGAAAGTTTCACGAGACAGGCAGCAGAGGACAGAAAAGTGGATGCGCCAAGAGAGCGGCTGCGTGTCTTATTGGAGATGTCAGAGAGCTCGCAGGGAAAAGAGCTGCTCTGCCCCTTTCCTGCCTGCAGGAAAATCTTCTGTCAGAGGTCACTATCAGTCAAACACGAGTTTCTCCTGTTCAAGTGTTCCTAAAATTGCTTACGTTGAAGCCATTGCTTCTTTTTAAAGGGTGTGTGTACAGAGCTGGTGTTTTCCATGTCTTCTTTTATTTCGTCTTGATTGTCGTGCACGACACGTTCTTTGGCTCTATCCTTAACTCTCAACGCCGCTTTTAAAAAATCAGTTGTACTACGTCCACAACTAGCCCTCTGCGCTTCTCAAATGAAGAAAACAATAATTAAAAAAAAAAAAAAAGAGAGAGAGAAAGAGAAAGAGAGCTTAAGAATCCCTTAAGGTCCTAAAGAGAGCTTAAGAATCCCTTAAGGTCCTAAAAGTAACTGTGTATGTGGCACAATCAACTATCAAATAGTTTCAAAAAAATGCTTTAAATATAAAACTCTCTTTGTACACGTTTTCCATTTAACAGAACACAGCCACGCTTCTAGGCTACTACACTTAAGAAAGCTGCAAGCCATTAAGGCACACAGAGGTTTCAGCCGGCATCTCTACAACTTCTATGTCCCCTCAAAACACCAACGTGCGTGGACTGAATACTATTGACCTGCACCCAAAAAGCCATAAAAGCGAGGGCGCGCCAAGAGATTCAAACGCACGTTGAGAGGCGCTTTAAGGGATAAAGGGATATGTGACAGTAGTATTAGGTGCAACACCCGCAACGAGCCACAACTGACCCAGGCCATCCTAAACAACCGTAACGATAACGGGAGCGCTGCTCAGGCCGGGGCCGGCA